GTGTGTGTGTGTGTGTGTGTGTGTGTGTGTGTGTGCAGTGTGTGTGCAGTGTGTGTGTGTGTGCGTGAGTGTGTGTGTGTGCGTATGTGTGTGTGTGCGCGCGTGCATGTACACGCGAACATGCATACCTCTGAGCGTGTGTGAGTATACTTGTATACATGCACGCATGCACGCACACACAGTGACACACAGTGACACGCACGCACGCACGCACGCACGCACGCACGCACGCACGCACGCACACACACACGAGTAATTGAACCTAGCAATAGAGGTGGCAGCACTGTACACTACTAGTAAATAGGGATGAATACAAAGTGTCCATATCTATCTTGATGCCTATGTAGGTTGAACACCAAATATATTACATCAACAGGTGTGCAAAGCTAATATTCTATAATAGACGCGAGATAAGGCTCTAATATAAGGGTCTAGATACACTAAGAAATCACACTATTTAAGTTAACTAGCCTTCATTTTTGCAATGGAATAGAGCTGATTAAGTAAGTGCTATCATTTCGCAACATATATGAACGAGCTTTCACAATACACGAAAGTACAAACCAATACGTAGTTTCCTTCCTATGCGAATACCTGTCACTCGAGCAAACCTTCAAATTGTCATCACCACTAAACACAGAGCACTGTCAATCGTTACGCTAGCCACAACACAAATCAAGCTAAACCTGCCACCACACATCTGTTGACAAACCACACAGCCTCCGTGTTAAAGTCTGGAGAGAGAGAGAGAGACCGAGAGAGAGCGAGAGAGTGTGAGGAGAGAGCTCAATTGACATCACTGCATGACTGTTCAGAAGCAATCCGTGTTCACACTGTTCAGCATGACTCACCGCACTATGTCTTGGCAAGAAAGCATCCCACACGCTGGCGCATTACCGCGTGTCCAGTGCCATTAGAATGCACTGAGTCATGCGCTTAGCTTCAACAATTTTATGGCCAACCAGCTTGAATGGGTAATCGAGCAAAATTAATTAGTTTCATACAGCCGACGGGAGTATGGAAACAAAACAGCTAGATGACTTTGATCGAGTATTACGGGTATATTCTCTATAATACAATTCTTACGCTATGATGCTCATATTAATGAAGCATATATATATATTAAAGCGTCCAGTATCAGTGCATGCACCATATGGATACCACCACTGACAAGCAAACCTAAACAAATTTATTTCTATTCGCACTTGATAATGATAAGACATTTGAGATATTTCACTCCTTATAGATTGCATTTTTTCTCTTCTCCGAAATGTCTCCATAAACCACCTTGGATCTTATAAGCTGATAGTCAGTGTGGTGGACATTATTACGACTAGGAAGTTACGATATGGTATATATATATATATACACCTTAGTGGAATAGCCTACAGTAAACACTAACCAATGCTTATAAAAAACCAGGAATTTTATGGGTAAAAACAGCAAAAGCCAAGGGTATATAATAGATAATTATCTAGGTCATAGTGACGAAGAGGTTTCTAGGAAAATTTAGATGGAGTGTAAAGGGTAATGCAGAACAGATACAAAAAAACTTTACCCCGATTATTTGAAAATAACTAGTGTTAATCCACTAATCATAAAAGTAATGACATATAAATTGAAACAGGTTTACTTCACTTTTAAATTTAGGGGTTTTCAAAACTTCCACCTATAACAAATGAAAACCAAAGAGACAAGCTCGCAAGACTAATATACTAGTTGTTCTGTTCACATGTACAACGACTACACTATGTGTACAGCAACTAGTTAATTTATTTTTCTGCCTATACCTACTGACTCAGCTCCGGTCCACTTTAGGATAACACCTGAACGCACAGTATGAGCTAGTTGGGGTAATAGAGTATTTAAGCTTGCCCTTACCAATTCACACATGAAACTCTGTACTGGGTTACTGCAAGCAATCAATCACCTTAGTGTAGCGTTCTGGCTGTATTAACCTCACCTCCCCATTCCCTAATATGCCTGCATTTGTGTTCCCTCCCACATTTAGAGATAGACATAGAAAATAGCAAGCTGCCAGTGCCGTGAAGCTAACAAATAGGGTTATATATTGACTACAAAATTATAACTAATTATAAGTCCAGAGATGTAAGTAATATTTGACCCAAAAATAGGAAAAATAGTAAGACACTCCGGCAACAGTGGCCATAGGCCACTGAATGGGGGCGAATGGCACCGCGAAGGGCACCTGGTATGTCCTTGCGTAGGCGTTGCTAAGTCTCGTGCTCGAGACTTAGAGACATTTTGGAATTTTCAGTGTCCTTAGATGCAATTTCAGGCCATCGCACAGAATCGGAATCGTTATTGAAAATATCAGAAAATTGGAATTCCGTCAAAAATCGAGAAAACTTTCATCTCTGATAAGTAGATAAGTACAAGCACAAGAATAAAAAAAATACAACCACAATTTGGGATAACCTCTTCCAGCACCATTCTGAAACACTACGAAACAAAACAATAAAGCACCACCTAAGCCGATGTTAAATTAATATAATTTCAATGTTATTACAGGGGTAGGAATAAGGAGAAAAAAAGTGATGGTCCACAGGACCATCTAGTTTGAAATTTAGATGGTCCTCCTAAATTTCAAATTGTTCTCTAAAAGTAATGCAGCGTCCAAGAAATTTACCGTAAAATGGGACCAAAATATTCAATGGTCCAACGGACCATTGACTTTGAAAATCTGATGGTCCTCCTGATTATTTGATGGCCCCGGACCATCGCTTATTTCGACCCCTGCAATAACACATATGTTTCATTGAATACTCTTTGAATACTCTTCTCTCCACAATCCCAATCAAGTTGCTATTCAAAGATGATAGAAACTATTTAGGATACCATTGGAGTAAACCTAAACATAAATCAGTGGGCGACTAGCGAGTTTGGATATAGATTCAAATTCGACTACACCATAGTACGGGTTAGAACTTGGAATGTAAAAATTACTAGAATTCAAAACAAATACTTATTATCCAATTGGTATGGAAACAGGCAGACCATAAATATATTCAAAACAAACAAGATGAATATAATAATTACTTAAAAACAAATACAACCAAGTTACAGGATAAGCAGTTATTAATGAAAATAAAAAATTCAATTTGCTTTCGCTCATTACTAACGAATCCTAGTATACAATTGAAAATCACAAACAACGTCGTCTCACCATTTTCCTTTTACTTGTCATGGAAGTAAGCCATACAGTGGCAGTCTGATACCAATTAACTCTTACATGCACATGGACACTAATGCACTACGTGCACTAACTTCCCAATGTCATCCCAATCCATACCGAACCAACTACTTTTTCTACAATTGATACGGTTGACAACAGTACATATTGACTGTGTCTGTGCATGCAATGTCAATGAAACTAAAGGTCCAAGGTCTACTAAAACCAGCACTAGAATATGTTAGAAAGGCATTATATCAATTAGAGAAAGTAAAATAATTAATGCTATAACTTGTAAACAGAATTTCCTAATCTACAGGATTTCCCCGCATATTCCAAGAGAATCAGTGCCTTGTGAAATACAAGAGAATTGGGACCCCAAGATACAAGATACAATGTCACGTGTGTGTACAAATAATGAAATCACAAAATACCTGGCAGATATTGTTAAAGAATAAAGGCTATTATAAACTATAGATCACTAGCCCTGCTGACTAGTGAATGCTTTATGTTAGTTTTAAGCCCTGAATATGCCATATAGTTACGTGAGTCACTCAATGAGTCACGCGACAGAATAGGCCCTACTGTAGGTCTGTGTAATGTGTTACAGCAGTCCAAGTCAAGTGTAAAAAAGGATCGTCCTTTATAAGTTGAAGTCTTGCAGACGAGATGTAATACCATTTATAACTAGCTAGTGACCAATAATGTTGATGCTACTATCGGCAGCAATTCAATAACTAAAATGACACTGAAACTTGTACAATATAAAACCTAATTCGTTAACAATTATTTCCCATTATCAACTTACCCTAAAAATTGGTAATCAGACATCAATGCTGTTTACTGTTGCGACACCTGACGGTAGTTTGTCGATGTGACGTCATCAATCATGTCAGCTTACATGAGCATCACCGATCAACTGGAAGCATAGAAATATATATGTAATGGTATATACAGAGCTTAACTAGTTATTTCTACGATTGTAGCAGCAGTAGAAATTGAAATTTTTATACGTAACGTCATATTCTCGCTATGGGTAAAGCTAAAAAAGCAAGGCAAAAACTACACGGCCGTGCATGTGTAGTTCATCAACAAGGTGAAACGACAAAAGTAGGAGTACGAGTACTAGGACAAGGAGCAACCGCTTCAACGACTGTGGGAAATACACAACCTAGCGAACTCGTTCGTCCACTATCCCGTGGAACTTCGTCTGAGATATTCCGTAACATTTCGATAACACCGGACATTTTGGCTAATCAGAAAGTACTCTTGGATTCAGATCGAATGAGCATCGCAACTACAAACAAAAGCAGTGTACAAATGAAGAAGAAAGATAAAAGAAAAGAACGGCACGATGCTTGGTATGATTTTAAGTTGACAAAGCTTGCCATTTAGGTGCTCTTATGCTGCGTTTACACTATCGATTTTTGTCAGCAAATCGTTCGAGTTGTGCAAAATAGAACACGTTCTATTTCTCCAACTCAGCGACTTGACTCTGACTCCAACACAATCGAATTTCAACCGATTTAGTTTGGAATGCATTTGTGGTGCGAGTCGGGGGCAAGTCGTTGGAATGCACTTGAAATCGCTACGAATTTGCTGACAAAAATCGATAGTCGTAAAGCAAGCATAGACACTCAGTTTGTCTGCCAAGAACCTTGCCTTCGGTGATTGACAGGGCTTTGCAGCCCCATTCTTAAATAATCGGTCATCTGTCGAATATATTTGCCAGACGGGCTAATTTATTACCTCGCATAATATGTGACCTGGATCAATACACCCATTGAACAGATTTCCTGCGCTCTATGTTCTGCGCCATTAGTTACGCATCTCCGCGAGACTCCGGTATGTGCGAGCTAAAGCTCCGCAATATTTGTTATCTCGATGCGTTATCTGCCTTGCATGACGCAGGTCCGCATCACCTTATGTGGCGAAAGAACCAGATGCACGTGGCAGGGAATAGAGCACCGATAATGGATTGACCTGAGTCGACATGACACAGAGGTGAGTAGATCATCCTTAACATTTATTAGGGGTCAAGGCATGCTCAAAAAGTCTTTCTTAAGCCAATACGATCCGTTTGAGGCAGCCCTTCACACTACACGTTAACGCCGATTGTTCGGCGCGGCATTTTACTAGCGCTTTCTGGGACGGAAACTTCCTCCCGACGCTTTGACCTAGGCTAAGCGCCAACTGGGTGTATATGTTTTCTGATGGCACTGTATAGCATTGCTGTAATTTACGATGTAATCGCTGCAGCTGTAAATACAAGACTATAGAGTGCTCGAGCTATGGCACCTAAATGTGCAGAGTCTCGTGCATTTTGACTAAATATGGATATGCTGTCCAGCCTAGTTGTAATGCTTATAAATGGATTAAATGTGTGGACAACACTCCCCTATACAGACTCATGTATTGTGTAGAGTAATGGCATGCAATGAGAGGCTCGGTGCATGTGGGTGGGTCACATCGTGGGTTTAAAATTATCACCCAATGACAGTAATTAGCTATGTACTGTAGGGGCTGGTCCACAGTAAGTTTTGCATTAACTAGCTATCAAAGGCTTTCACACCACCATTCAACATGTGTGGGTCGTGATATCACCTAGTAAAAACAGATTTTCATCAAGGACGTATTCTGAATATAGTTGTATGAACAAATGAAATCGGTATAATGTTGCCGTGGAAATTTAATCGTTAGATAAATTATGCGATGGATATATCAAGTCAGAGCTTGACCTAATGTCAGTTGCATGTAAAGCTTTGTATAGTTCAAAGTAGGGGAGAACATGGTTGAGGAGGGAGGAGAAGAGATAGAGGAGGGGTAGGATCATAAGAGTATAATAGGTAGGGGAAGAGGGGAGGTGGTGAACAAGGGATGAGGTAGAGGAGGTGGAGGAGGAGGAGGAGGAGGAGAGGCAGTGGAGGGGGAGGTACAGGAAGAGGGGAGGTGGTTGAGGAGTTGAGAAGGTGGAGGAGAAGTGAGTGGGTTGAAGAAGAGGGAAAGTGGTGGAGGAGGAAGGAGTTAGGGGATGGATGAGTGGTGGAGAAGGGAGGTGTAGAGGAGGTGAGGTGGTGGTAGAGGAGGAGAGGTGGTGGTAGAGGAGGATGGAGATAGAGGAGAGAGGGGTGGTAGAGAATGAAGGAGTAGGGGAGGAGGAGGTAGAGGAAGAAGGGAGAAGGTGGTAGAAGAGGAGGGAGGTAGAGGAAGAGTAGAGGTAGTGGAGGAGGGATGAGGTAGAGGAGGAAGAGAGGTGGTGGCGGGATTAAGAATGTGGTCCAGGAGGTAAGAGAAAGAGGCCACGGTGGTGGCTAAGGAAAGAGGTGGGCAAGTAGGAAGGAGGAGATGGTGGAGGGGGATGAGGTAGACAAGAAGGATCGACATGGTGGAGGAGAATGTAGAGGAGGGGAAAGGTGGTGGAAGAGGGAGGAGATAAATTATGGGGACATGGTGGGCGGAGGAGGAGATAAGAGGAGAGAATGTGGTGGAGTAATATCCAATATATTAGTATAGATGGAGACAATAATAGTTACGTTAGTGGTCAGTCCGGAAAGATGCTAAGAGGAATGGGAGAAGGTAGAAGATAGAAGAGGCACTCGAAAACAGGGTAGGAGATGGATATGTATCAGGAGTGATGTGACTTCCCTTCAAGTTTCTTCCCTTCTCCTCCACTGCTCCACCATCTTCCGTTCCTCCCCCACTACCGTCTCGTCCTCCACAACCATAATCCTCCCCTCCTCTACCATTGCCTACCACTCCTCCACCACAATCTGTTGTTTGCAGTTAGGCCTAAAAAAAGACGTTTGTTTCTGCTAACCCGACCGAGTCCATTTTAAACCGCCGTGTCGAAACTTTATTGTGATCGGCAAAAAAAATGTTTTTAAAAAATATAAAAAATCCCAACATGATATCGATTGGTGAATGCATTGATTTGACTTTGAAGTCATTATATGGGTTGTTATAATTATAACAAGCATTGTTAGAATACAAAAAGAAATAAAAAATATTTGATAAAATAAGTTACCTGCTTACCGTGTCCAATTTTTCTCAGCTCGTTAGCGGAAACAAACCTCTTTTTTAAGCCTTAACGGAAAGTAGAAATTTACACTTCTACCTGTATGTCTCTAATTTCTCATGTAATATTGTACAATTTTAACGTCACGGCACATAAAAGTACGTATTTATGAATTTCAGGTTGCAAAAGGTAGGTGCAATAACCCAAGCAAAAGAAAAACAAAAAACAGCGAGAAGACGAGCAAATTTACCAATAGTAGGAGATTTGAAACCTCTCGAAGATGCTTTGCCCACACTTGACCTGTTGCTGAAAGAATCAGGTACTTTATTTGTAATGTACATATCTTTGGTGCTGTAAACGAATTTAAAATGCATGGCTATATTAACGTGTTTATGATAACATTATACCTTGTATACTCCCTTATTTTTATTTACTACTGATAAAAACATTTATAAAGTTATAATACAAATAATGTGCTTAGCACATGTGCAGCCAAATTAATTTTTATATTCATACAGATGTTTCATTTTGTAGGTCGTGGAAAAATGGAAAGAAATGAAGAACCTATAAAAGTAAAATGGACGCGGAGTGTTAAACAAAAGCAGAAGCAAATGATGGAAGATATGAAGACTTTCCAGCAAGTTTTGAACCATCCAGAATATCAAAAGAATCCACTAGGTGTAATTTCTCTACATCTTAAAAATAAAATTCAGGAACAAACTCTTTAATAATCAACAAATAGTATACTGCAGTATTTTATCAGTATGTTGAAGCTAAGAGAGCTCATTTTACACACTTACTTAGTTGTAACTTGTGGTGTACCTAACGACAGCCTCGACTTAGAGGGACACAGGAAAGTTAATAAGCGTGCATAATTATAAACTTAATGTTAATGCATAATTAAAACAATTATTGTATCCCCGGCGACGAAGTCGGCGGGGATACTATGGTTTCATGTCTCCCCAGCCGCCGCCGTCACAGACAATTTTCCTTCCGCTCT